AAAAAAAAAAAAAAAAAAAAAAACCACACCAACTTGTAAGGCAATCAAGTTCCCCTAGCAAAATCCCTATGTAACCTACCAAAACTAGGAGACAGTAACCAACTATACATTTAAATAACAAAAGGTAAGCATATAGAAAGAATGGTAAACTTGCCCCTTTCAGGCTCTGGAATATCTGATCGGGGAACAGGTGACTTCAAGGACCCAGAAACTGGCGTTTTTTCTCCTCCTTTAACATTTTCCTTTGATTTCATTTCCTTTGCTATATCTCTCTCTCTGGATGGCTCCTTCTCTCTTTCCCTTTCTTGACTTGATTTTGATTCTGCGTTGGGGACAGTGGTCTTGAATTTCTCATCTTTAACTTTTTCTTCCTTCTTGAATTTTTCTTTTTCTTTGTCAGACTTTGGCGTTCTTTCCTTGGTTTCTCTTGCTTTTTCATCTTTATTTGGCCGCTCCTCCTTTGGTTTTTCTTTACCATCTTTACCAAGTACCCTGGCCTCTGGAGTAGTAGCTGGAGTCTTTTCTTTTTTCTCTTTTTCCTTCTCTTTCCCTTTTTCTTTGTCATTTTCTTTAACAGCTTTGTTGCTTAAAAATAAAAACATGGGATTTTAAGACAAATAATCAAAAAATATATCCCGTCTGATATATGATAAAATATATCATAAAGCGTTTCTTACTAACTTCAAAAATACTAGAACTAAGGTGGTGTCCTTTGAAAACTAAAGGACAACTTTAAGACAAGTAAAAAGGAAGAAACAATGGCCAGGTGCAGTGGCTCACGCCTGTAATCCCAGAACTTTGGGAGGCCGAGGAGGGTGGATCACTTGAGGTCAGGAGTTTGAGACCAGCCTGGCCAACATGGTAAAACCCCGTCTCTACTAAAAATAGAAAAAACTTAGCTGGGCATGGTAGCACACACCTGTAATCCCAGCTACTCTGGAGGCTGAGGCACGAAAATCTCTTGAACTTGGGAGGCAGAGGTTGCAGCGAACCAAGATCATGCCACTGTACTCCATCCTGGGTGACAGAACAAGACTCCGTCTCAAAAAAAACCAAAAAAACAAACAAAAAAAACCAAACAAACAAACAGAAAAGGAACTATTTCTTTATCCAGTAAATACTAAACAAATTCATGAACTGCAGATTAAGAAGAATTATTAGCCAGGCACAGTGGCTCACGCCCAGCACTTTAGGAAGCCAAGGCAGGCAGATCACATGAGGCCAGGAGTCTGAAACCAGCCTGGTCAACATGGCGAAACCCTATCTCTACTAAAAACACACAAAAAATTAGCTAGGTGTGGTAGCGCATGCTTGTAGCTTCTAATCCCAGCTACCGGAGAGGCTGAGGCACAAGAATCGCTTGAACCCAGGTGACGGAGGTTGCAGTAGTGAACCAAGATCATGCCACTGCACTCCAGCCTAGGTGACTGAAAGAGACTCTGCCTCAAAAAAAAAAAGAAAATTATTATTAAAATAATGTCAGGCTCTTTTTTGGCATATATTCATAATCTATCAGAATAACATGGTAAAATCCAAATATATACCTCACAAACCAAGCAAGGGAAATACTATCAGGAAACAGATTATTTAGCTGGATGGAGTACTACTTAAATTAGTGTAGGCTTTTCTTATGTCTGTCCTTACTCAAATTGTTCACAGCAATCACTCTATCCTAAAATATTTTTTTAACTTCACATCTACATTCCCCTGCATAACCCAGCAGGAGAAACAAAGTTGTTATACAAAGCATAATGATATAAAACATAATTAGGATGTAAAGCATATCAGTAAATAGGGTAAAAAGAAAATTTCAAAGGCCAACATAAATGACTTTTCACATTACTCAACAACCACTCCCCTTCTACTCATGAGGATCCACATAAGAAATCAGAATTATGAGGGCCAGGCGCAGTGGCTCATGCCTCTAATCCCAGCAGTGTAGAAAGGCAAGGCAGGCAGATTGCTTGAGGCCAGAAGTTCGAGATAAGCCTAGGCAACATAGCAAGACCCCCGTCTCAAAAAAAAATACATAAAAATCATTTTAAAAAAGAATTTAGAATTATGACATATGGCACAGTGTTCCTACCTGTTAGAGCCACTATTTCCATTGTTTGAATTCCCTTTAGGTGTGGTACTAGAAGCTTTATTAACAGCTTTCACACCACACTGAGATCTCTCCCTTGATTTATCTGAAATAAAAGTAAGGTTTTATTTAACAAACCCCTAGATGTAAATAAACTACAATTTCACAGCAAAATGATTAGAGAATAATTAGAAAGAAGCAGCAGGCTGATTACTTCTTAACACTTATATACTCCTATCTAGGGAATAAAAAGTAATACTAAGTCAGCACTGTACTTGTTCTGTGATACAAAACATTTCACTTTGTTGAAATAAAATATATTACTTATAAGCTTCTACAAGTAAGCATACCAGTCTCCTCAGTACTGCTTTCATCCGATTTAGATGTACTTCCTACTGATGATGAAGAAGGCCCACCACCAGGCCCATTTTGCACACTGGCAACTGCATTCCTCGGAGGGGGGTCTTTGTGATGAAACTCATTTTCAGGTATCATGTATGACTTTCTACTTTTCAACTGCCCAGAGTAGCTGAAAGTCGCACAAAGTGTTTAAATATACAAACACAAATCAAAAAACACAAACATGAGGTTTTTAAGAATAAAATTAGCAAGTTATTCATTCTACTCTGTGGTTCTAGAGAATTAAAAAAATACTAATTTTTAGTAAGTTCTTAAAGGTTTTTATAGAATGCCCAACTCTCTTAAAAATAACAATTTCACTATAAACTAATACTAAAACTAAGATGGCTTTTTTCTTTTATTCTTGAAGATCTGGTAACTATGATGATAAAATTATATTTCCTCCCAATCAAGAAATATTATATATGAATTTTGAAACTATCATCCAGTATAGACCGGAAGTTGATAATCAGAAGTGGTAACTCTCACCAGCCTGTGGGAACATGATCGCATAATCTCCCATAATCTCCTGAAGGCAGAAGATAAACTTCAACACTGTAAAACATTTTAAAGTCTTCAGAATCCTTCTGTCATCTAGTCTTGTAAATCACATTAAAATATAATTTTGTTACCCCATAGCCAATGCATATAGATCTGGCCTCTTCTCTTTTTCTTCTTGGCAGATTTTGTGTACTCTTCTTTCCAAAGCTTGACCCAGATTCAAAACTTTTGGGTACCAAGGAAGTATTTTTGTTAGCACAATCAAGATATTCCGGATGTGAGTATATTCGCCTGTTTCAAGGCAATGTACCGATGCCTACAACAAACATTTTAAGATTCATTATTATGCAAGTATAAAGAGAAAAATTTACCTTTGAAAATTTCAATTTTTTTTTACCTTGGTTAGTTTATAATGCCATTTATGTACAACATGTCGAAAATTTTCATAGTCTAATTGATCAGCCTTATTTCCACCATCAAATCCAGTTGCCCGCAATATGGTAAGGAATCCTGGATAGTTTCCACATTCCTAAGGAAACAATGTTTGTCACGTTTAAAGAAAAATTGTGATCCACAAAATAGCAGAAACTGAAACTTAAGTAGACTAGATCAATGTTTCCACATAAAACCATCATGTCATAAAAAGTTCAACTTATATAAAGATATTACTTTGGAATGTCAGTTTGAGATAGAATAAAAAAGTATACAGCACTTTTTAATAATGAATTAATTGTGCTTATAAACATGGTTTTACAATCTAGACATTACTGGATGTGGTCATTATATACACAGGTAAAATATAAGGGTTTCTATTAGTGATACCTTTTCATATGTGGCTCTATCGCTATGCCACCTGGTCACAGTCTCTAACATGCAGCAAAGAAACCTTCCATATCGACTGGCTTCATTTTCAGTACAGCTTGCAACTGTGTAAATTATGTCAGAGAAAACCTACAGGAAAAAATGTTTTAAAAATATAAACAAATCAAGGTCAAAATCAGTTGAAAATATTAGAAAATTCTCTTATAGCAAGTCATAATAAACAGGTAAGCTTCATCAAAAATGTATATTCCCTTTATATACTGACACTCCAGTGACCTTTGGAGATTTTGGCTTTTGTGGGGAAATAGTGCATTCATAAAGCAAACACCCAAAACAATAATTTTTATAAAGAAAGCTGATTTGACAGGAAAAAAAACTATCATTATTATTATATAATAGTTTCTTAATGACTTAGCCACACATATGACTGGGTTTACGGGGACAGTAAACAGAGGAAATGCAGATATAAATTAGAAATAGGCAACTGACATGCTGGAACATACATTATGTTTTTAAACCACAAAATGTACTAATATAAGAAAAAAGCTAAACGCAAAATGTGAATATGACCATATTGAAAAGCTTCCCTGCTTTTATGTGTGTGTGAAGGTGTAAATTTTTTTTTTTTAAGAACTGAAGGTTAAGAATAAAGAGTTCTACCAATTATGATAATACATGTAAACTCAAACAGTTAATAGTTTAACCTTGAGTGCCTATTACATATCAGGTGCTTTTTATGTGTAGTAATTCATTTAATCCTCACAACAATCTTATGAAGCAGGTTATTTATGCTTTACAGATAAGAAAACAGTCACAGAGAGGTTAAATGACTAGGCAAAGATCATACAGCTAGAAAATAGTAAAGCTAGGATTCAAGTTTAGACACTTGGCTCTTGAGTTCATGCTTTTTAACCACACACACAATAATATCTCTATAGATAATAATGTTAGCTATCTTTGTGTGAGAATTTTTTTAAGGTCGCAATAAGGAGAACTTACTCGATCATAGCAAAGAAGTGTGGAAAAATTTGGAGTTTTCTGTTGATGTACCAATTCAACAAAACGAGCACAGTAAACAGCATCAATTGCTGAAAAAATACATCGAGGAAATATACACAGCTGTAGAAATTTTGTGATGGTCTCATTTTTGGTAGATTCTATAAATAAAGGAAGAATATATTAAGTTGTAAACTTCTTCCTCAAGGGCCTCAAAGCCACTGAACATGACAATATATTACCTTTAGTGCAGAGAACACTATAAAACCACAAACTATTTATAGTTTGTAACCAAAGCTCATGCCTGAGATAAGACTATCATTTTTATGCTGTGGACATTTTTTCTATCTATGATTTCTCCAAAAATATGTTTTATACAGAAAAGCTGAATGACAAGCTGTCAATATTGCAGTTATAAGTTAATTAACTTCACCAGCAAAATGTATCAGTTCCTCCAGTGAATGTGAAGTTGATTCTGCATCAACAAATAACCAAAGAATGAGATAGGGAACACTGAGTTGAAACACAAGCATAATACACTTTAACACCTCTAAAATACTAAACGTTTTGTTTTCTGTCATTTACCAGCATCAGGAATGTAACAATTCCAACAACTTACTTGCTAAAAGCCAGTTGTCCTTTTCCAGTTTCAATCTCTGTAGAACTCTCTGTACATGTTCCATCTGTTTCTTTTCTTCTTCAAGAAGCTTGTCCTGAAGAGCAGTACAGCGCTCCTTCTCTTTTTTCTTTTTATTTGGGGGCTACAAAGAATAAATTAGATACTTTTCTAACCATATGCACATTACCCTTCTTCTTTCAACTGAAAAGTTTACAGAGATAAGGGCTGATAATTTATAATTACTTCAATATGAATATAGGTCCACTTGAATGTGCTACTTTCATCTTCATTCAACACATTTATAACGCTGTCATGGAGGCTTCATACACCATCAAAATAGCTAAATTTGCAACACTAATACTACTAGTGTCAGGCATAGAGAAATCTTTGACTCTTCCTTTTCCTTTATACCAAGACTTGTTTACAAGTCTTGTACAATGCCACTACCTCCATCAGTCCATGCTCTCACAATAGATTGCCTAAAAAGCCACCTAGCTGCTCTTTAGCCTAATGCTAGTCCTTTCCCCTGTCAAAAGCATCTTTCATACTGCTGTCATGAGTAATCTTTTTTAAGTACCATTTTTTACCATTATTACTCCCCTGCTCAGAAAACTAAAATAGCTCTCAATTGTACCACGTCTACTTTTCTCCCTGATTTTCAATGCCCTATACAATCTGGCCCCATCATAACTATTCATATGTATCACTAAGTACATTCACTACATGAAAGTGAATCAGTAAAAGTGGTCTTCCTAAACCTCAATCTACTTCCTATCTTTGCTGGAACCCTATGGTGACCGCCGTATTTGCTTCCGTATTTCCAAACCTAATCTACCTTCAAGGCCTATCCAGCTCAAGACTCAGCTTTTCAATAATCTTCTCCTAAAGGACTTTCCTCTTGAGAACTACTGCTCTTGCTATTAGAGTCACATGAATCATTTTAAGTTATTAGCACAGTCATCAGTAGAAAAGGACCCTCAAATAATTTTTGATTAATCATAACCTCCACCTAGTCACCAACCTCCTGGCCCTCCACTCAGAAGTAACTATTAAACCCAATTTAAGAAAATATTATATAGCAACAAGACCACCATTTTAAGGAACCAGAGCTGAAACAATCTCAAAATATAGGTAACACTGAATACCATAAAGTTATTGCACTTGAAGTACTAGAACAAAAACTTACCATTTCTTGATTGTCATCAATTGCTTTCATCTGGACTTTAAGTTTATTGACTTCTCGTTCATAGCTGGTGTGTGGAACTGCAAGGTCATACATTGTCAATGACCAGAACGTGGCATAGAATTGAGGGCTGATGTCATCCCAGACTTTGGAAACATGTAAGGAGACCACTGCTTCATGGACAGGCGCCATCACCATCTCACATGATGTTATGTACTTATGAACTTTATGTTGCTGTTTACTTCCCTTTTCTGATTTTTTAAGTTCATCATACTTTGACTGGAGATAAAAAGTAAATATACATACATACATACATACACACACAACATAATTTATAGCTTTGACTTTCATGGTATAAAAATCTATATTCCCTTTTAAAGAATCAAAAGATGACCAATCTCAAAACTGTTACAGAAATTCTAGTTTCTTCCCAACAACATTTATTTTAAGACAAATAATCCCTGGAAGCTATTCCAATCTTTAGTACTAAGTGCTAACTAGGAGATTTTCAGAGGATTCTTATCTAATCTAACCTGTGGAGTAAAGTGAATAGGGTATATGCATATCCCCCTCATCCATATCACCCTATACCCTCTTGCTCCTGTATCAGGGATTGAACAAGCAGGGTTTCCAATCCTGCTTTTGAGATATTCAAGCCAACAAACAGAAGGTCTTAACATGAGAAAAGAGGAAGAATGCAACTAGTAACAGCCAACTAGGACAGGATGTAGTATCACTACATGTAGTCCCTACCAACTATTAAAATGTGTCAATTAAAAAGCTGGATCAAGAGGCTGAGGTGGACGGATAACTCGAGGTCAGGAGTTTGAGATCAACCTGGCCAGCATAGCAAAACCCCATCTCTACAAAAAATATAAAAAATTAGCTGGGCGTGGTGTGGGGCGCCCGTAGTCCCAGCTACCTGGGAGGCTGAAGTAGGAGAATCACTTGAACCCAGGAGGTCAAGGTTGCGGTGAGCTGAGATTGCACCACTGCACTCCAGCCTGGGTGACAGAGTGAGACACTGACTCAAAAAAAAAAAAAAAAAAAAAAAAGCTGGATCAACACTAAGAAAAGTTATGAGAAATTTGTTTTAAGGCTGCTAAGTAGGGTGACCAATTGTCAGGGTTTCCTGGGGATTCAGGGGTTTCTGAGGATATAAGACTTTAGTGCTAAAACTGGGAAAGCCCCAGGCAAATTAGGATCAAATCATTACCCTAATGCTTAGCCAAATAAATTTTTCTGTGAAAAGCTGTGGTATATTGAAGTTTAAAGCAGGTGAGAACTGATGCTGCAGCTTCTTTCACCTGATTGGTTTATCCTAATTTTGGGGAAAAGTCAGAGATGGCCATATTCTTAATAGTATGGGGGGAAAAAAATGTTAGTACAATGGGAGGAGCTCCAGAGATATGTGTATGCCAAATATATTCTCTCTCTCTACACACACACACACACACACACACACACACACACACACACACACAAAAACACATAGTTGCTGCTATTGCTTCATGTCCTTCAGTCCCTTTAGGATGAAATGGCTCTCACCCAGAAAATTTCTGTTTAGGTTAGTTATCAGCCTTAATATAACCTAAGGGAAGTCCTAAAACTAGTTTCTTCTTTATGTTAGAATATTACTTAAATCATTCTATTTGTGCTAAACACGTAACCGAAAACAAGATGATCAAAGGTTCTGCTTCCAGTTCTACGCTGTGACAGGCAAAAGAGTCTCAGCTCCTTACAGCTCAGTTACCTGCCTTCTTCCTTCCTGAGTGCGCTGGGTGCTGCTATGCGCTCCCAGGCTCACTGCACTAAAAGCACACAACATTCTCTTTCTTCAAGGAGGGTTCTCAAACCGGACCTGAGAATTTGACAATTGTTTTATAAGTCCAAAGATTTATGTTGTTATCCCCATTTTAGAGAGCATGCTGATAACTACTAAGACCACATAAGTGGCAAAGTTACAGAGAACATTAGTTATGAGAGGAGTCCCAATTGCATCAGAAACCACAGGGAACAGCAGTTGGGAAAACAGTTTATTTAGAGGACAGGTCTTATTGAAGACAAGTAATATTAATCTAGATGAGCAGAATGACTTCTGCTAAGGTTCTAACAAAACAGGATAAAATAGGGTTGATGCTATCTGCATAAGAGAGCCTAGTTACCTGTTCTGGGCAAGATCTAGAATATGAACTAGGTAAAAGTGTATCTTTCAGACCTGTGCCTCAAGGTGGACCTCAACTTCAACAATTAAAACTAAAAATTAGTTTATAGGTATGAGGGGGTTACACGATAGCTCCCATCTCCCCAGTCCTCTGGGTCTGAATCTGTGATTTCTATTGCTAGTCACCCCATAGTCACTATCTAGTTAGAAAAACAGACTTGGTCAGAAAAGATAGCTATACTTCATATTTACCCAGGATGAGTATGTCTTTGTCTAAAGTCAGTTTAACTCCCACTTCAAGTTCACATCTTCAGTCACATGAAGAGACATAACAGTTCTACATCTCAAATCACCTAGGAAACTAGACTTACAGAATAGAACTGATATCCACAATTATTGCTGTACTTCTATTGTTCAAAAATCTCGCCTCAAGAATCTGAGCAGGCCAGATGCAGTGGTTCACGCCTGTAATGCCAGCACTTTGGGAGGCCAAGGCAGGTGGATCACCTGAGGTCAGGAGTTTGAGACCAGCATGGCCAACATGGCGAAACCCCTAAAAATACAAAACTCAGCTGTGTGTGGTGGCAGGCGCCTGTAATCCCAGCTAGCTGGGAACATGAGGTAGGAGAATTGCTTCAACCTAGGAGGTGGAGGCTGCAGTGAACTGAGATTGCATCACTGCACTCCAGCCTGGGAGACAGAGCAAGAC